TAATATATGTAAATATATATATATGTCTCTCTTCAGATGGAGTGCACGTAATTGAACCCTCAGCTGTTGATTTTAAAAAAGACGTCTCTTACCTCTGAAAAAGTTACTGTTTGCATGGTCTGGGTGACAGCTTTGCTATTTTTTTCTTCGCCTGTCCTTATATTTGCCAACTGCATGAGCTTACGATAACAATATCAAGATGGAAAGTCCCACAAAATCGCCACTAATCAATTTCTGCACAGTTTTTCGGTGGTTTCCAACAACAACAACAACAAAAAGCACCATACCCAACAAGTAGTAGATCTAGAAGTAGTGCAGGCCAACAATGCCTCTTTGGAAGGTTACGCACGAAGTGAAAAATGTCCTGTAGGCTACTTACTCTAGCATGTGACAACACCGCTAGTGAAGCCTGGATGCTTGATGTTTGTGAAGCTTCAAATAAAAACTCTTTCACGTGGTCATGGATGAGGTGGACAACCATAAAATACATGGAAAATGCAAAAACAGGGCCATCTCGAGTTCTGCTGAGCAAGACAAATGTATTATAATCTTTACTTTTTGCAACATTGCCAATGGCTGTCAGCTTCATATCCATTGTTTGATAAAAGTGAATCGAACTTGAAGGCATCTCTTTCTTTAAATACATGTACATTCATTTCATCAATATCAGCAGCTCTAGAAGAAGGTGAACTTGTAGTTGCTCTTTTTTTTTCTTTTCTTTTTTTCTTTTTTTTTTTTTTTTTTGAGCTGGTGTGCCACAACATGATGGTGGTACTTCTGGAAATTTTGATGGAGGCTTTGTGGGCACTATAAATCTTCCAGCCCGTGAGTGCAGAGAGCAAACTCCCATATACATTGTAATCCATGACATCTTCTACCATGATTAATTTATTTGAATTTGGAACACTTTTGATCCACTGTGCTTTTTTCTTAACCTTTTGGAAATATATATTATAATTGTTATTTTGCTATCTCCCTTTTGGCTGGCATAACCACTTCTACATCCCCATCCCCTACACTTTCTTCTCATGTTCAAATTTGAAATGTTGCTCACACGGTTCTTTGCGCTGAAACTGAGACGCCTGCTGAAAACTTTTTCACAATAACATTAGTAACAATAACATTAGTAACAATAACATTAGTAACAATAACATTAGTTACAATAACACTCAAGATGAAAGAAAACTAGACTCTGGGCTGAACACTAAAACACACAATATAAGCACACCTTTAATCCTTAGAATTCAGTGTAGTGAAAATATATTCAATCAAACGAAAAAAACGTGTACATCCAAGAGCACTGAATGAAACAATGAAGAGGCTAGGAGATTAGATAGACTAGGCGGCTACACACTACAGACTACTCACATTACTATTACACTATCGACACGCAAAAGCGTAATGCAAAATGTTCCGCCACCTGTATACGTTTTAGTATTAGAGCATCTAGATCTACCTATCGCCGCTTTTCGAATTTGATCCTCGATACGATAAGGGCTGGTCTCGAGGCGAACTTATCAAGATAAGGTCGCCCACCCCAGTCCTCAATGCCGGAGCCAATCGTCCGGGATATAGGGCCTGAACTGAGAAGGCCTAGTCTAGTGGTGGTCTGTTAATGTTCAAAGAGGCCGACACATTGAGTACCGAGATCATGCTTTTTTTCCATTTTCAATGGGCTTCAAAATTTCCGATAGATCTAGATCCAGAGTAAATCTTGAGTTAATTTTACACTCATCGATTTCGAGAACAAAACGAAACAGTTGTGGTAGTTATCATTGTTATTATAAAGACATAGGGCGATAACACAGAGAACGCCCAAACTTAAGCGGCTGAAGATCGACGCGGACAGGCGCCAGTAGGTGTCTGCTTGACACCACATAGAGGTCGTATAAAACCTAGATCTAAATATAAGAAAAAAAATTACACCACAACGCAGCTGGTATTTATGAAGCATTTATTTGGGGATTAAAAAAAAAACTCTTTAAATGTAATTCTGCTCGATTGCCACCATAATTTGACGACGCTGATTTAAAAATAATATAATTAGTTTTTTTGTCTACCGTGAAGCACCACCTCTGAAATGGCCATTTAAAATTGTCCCCTGTCCAGTCGGGTGACGTCACGCAAACCGCTCAATCCGAGTTGGCGACGGCGAGACGGCATGAGTTCGCTATCTCAGTGCTTTCTGGTCGTACCTCCATTTTTAATAACAAAAGCAGTTCACAAAAAGAGTGAGCTTAAGAAGAAGTCATATTTTTACTGTTAAAAATTGGAGATAAGACAAGAAAGCACTGAAGTCGCGAGTTGACAGCAAGACGCCCTTCCCAGTTTTTCGGCGTAATAAAAATGTAGTTTGGATTCCGATAAAGCCGACAACACCGATCCGGGCTTAAAGCCGCCTGCAGTCTGCCAGCTTTATGTGGGGCAAGTTGGAAATCATAAGGGAATTTTTATACCTATCGGCGCTTACTGAGTAAGTCTCCGAAATCGGCGTTCTCTCTGTTTTCGCCCTTATAACATTATTATTAATTCTCGTTCTTTTTTTAATTGAATGGGAAGTATAGATCTATCTACTGTTTTACAATTACGCAATAAAAGACTGTATTTCTAGTACTACATATGTTTTTTCCCATTTTTAATTATTTTTTTAGGGGTGGTGGGACACCTGAAGGCTATCCCGGCTGTTACAAACCCTAGATAGCTCAATTTGCTTTGGGATATCATGTATAATTGGGGATTTAAAATATATTGTAAAAAAAGTAAATCTGGTTCGGTTGCCATGGAAACAGCTGCCATATGGGATTTTGTATACCTATTTTGATCCCGTTTTTTTCACCTGTTTTTCAACAAATACACTTTTAATTTGGCAAGTAGATCTCTACGTAGAAAAAGTACAGATCTAAAAATTGGTCGGAGGAATTTTTTATATAGATCTAGCCTAGGATTTAGTTTTCATGTTTGGCACTTAAGAATCGGCTTACTGCATAACTGTTACCCCCCCCCCCCCTCCCCCCCCCCCCCCCCCAACAAATTTTTTTTAAAATCTGGATTTCGGAGGACATTAATCACAAACTGCAAAAGCAATAAAAAAAATTCCTCAGACAACTTTTTAGAACTAGTTGTAGTTGACATCCTGTGAAAGTTACATTAAAATTGAATAAGAAACAATAAAGCAGAAATGGGATAATGTGTGTGAAAATCACATTTTGAGAAAACGGCCGATAAAGGTCAGAAAAGGCCAAAATAATTCTCTTTCCAGTAAAAATCTTCAAAACATAGATTTTATTACAAACCAAAACATGGCAACTACTTGATAATATTAACGCAGCAGACATAGAATGGAGGTTTCCTACTAAAACTGAAGGGTATAAGCGGTGCAAAACATGCTTTCTTAGACAAAAAGTGATTTTTTTAGCCCCTCCGTCAGCTCTAAAATCCCTTCAAACACCACTTTAGGGTACAGAAACGATTTCGTACGTTTTTAGAGATTATTTTGGAAATATACATGAAATAATTATAATAAGTGCATGATATTCCCAGTTTTCATAATTTCACCCAAAAACACATTTTTTAGGTGCCTCACCAGCCCTTAAAAGCTTTGACCCATCATGAAAAGGAAAAGGAAATCACCAAAGACCACAGAATCTGTGCCAAAGACACATAATATGTGGGCAATGACTTCGGTAAAATGGAGACTCCTTGAATATGTCTGCGAAGGACAACAACACAAATCCTTTGACATGGGAGAGCCTAGGTCCTGACAGACTCAGTTGGAAAGTAACAGTCACAATGGGCTGCAAGTCGAGATCATATGAGAGAGAGAGAGAGAGAGAGAGAGAGAGAGAGAGAGAGAGAGAGAGAGAGAGAGAGAGAGAGAGAGAGAGAGAAAGAGAGAGAGAGAGCCGCAAGCTGAGCACATCAGCTACAAGTGGAAGTGGGAAGTGGAGCTTGCAGTGCTCAAAATGTGGCAAATTTTTACTCCACTTGAATTAGCCTCTTTGGACAGAGCACAAACCACGAGACATCTTAACCTTTAGATTTTCGCCTGTTTCGCTAATTATGTGTCCACAAAACGTTGAGATTGGTTATAGTGTTGCTAGCTAAAGAAAAGGGTCCCACATTTGTTCAGGCTTCGGTGACCCCAACACTGCAGGTATGCCAATGCCCATCACCAAATTAAGAAACACGACATGCATATTCTGCAGAAGCTCATATTTTGTCACATTATCAAACTCAGTACATTATTATGTATATTGTTTCAAACTATAATTATTTCACAAACCTTTGTTTTGAAATCTGTGAGACTTGTCTCGAGACACTGAATTAGAATAGAGAGGTCAAAGAATCTTGCACGAGACCTTTATACAGAAAGAAAGAAACGAAGCTGTTCTTCATTTGAGTATCTGTACTGGAACTTGAGCCAGACTTCATAACTTACACCACATTAGGTGATAAAATAATGTAGCCAAATGCAAAGGCTCAACTTTTCGACCTGGACTGGAAGTAATGTTTGTGAGCTTGGACCTCATCAATATTCTACCCCAAAAAAAAGAAAGAAAGAAGGTTTCAAGTATAGAAAAGAAAAGTACCCTTAAACTGATCTAGAAATGTAAGCTTCTCAATCATTACCATTATCAGTTATTATCAGTTCAGAACATGAACACACCCCGGGGCAATTCCACTGACTGCAGTGTCTTTAGGCCATTCCCAAAGGGGGGACATTTCTCGTTCAAGCACAGCAGAATTGTAAATGAGCTGATTCATTATGTCACGCTCATAACTGTGCCTGATCTGCAACAGGGAACTGCTGCTTTTTCTTTCCTAATCCTTACTATTGTCATTTACCTCTACTTCGTTTTCTTGTGACCCGCTATTTCCGGGGTGCCTTGATATTCTAAGCAGACGTTATGCTGTTGAAGCTAGAGAGGTGAGCAGAGTAAGTCTGATTCCTGTAAGGACTTCTCTGTTGACACCCACCCCTTGGCGCTCATATGACCTTATACAATTGCGAGCGCAGTAAAAACCCTCTACTAAAAAAAAAAAGAACATAAACGGATATTCAGAACATACTTCTCTGACCTTGCGGCCAGAGACATGGTGGCTCTAACTCTCTTACACAGTTAGATCTAACCAGAGAGTTTACAGTATTACTGTAAACCCTCTCTGATCTAACAGCTCACCGAAGTCAACATAATTTATTGACTTGAGGGAAGAAGAAAGTAACCTCCCGATCGGTATGGCTTGAAGATGCTCATCAGTAAATTTGTATCTGTACTTTGATTTATTATAGTAAGCTCATAGTGGGGAAGAGATTTTCACAATCACATAATATCATCGCCGTCGTGATGAGATAGGATAGGCCTAGGTGATATCGTGTACATTTTTCGGGAGAAGGGAAAAAGATGATTTATTAAAAGAATGACTTAGACATAGAGTTATCCAATTTTCATACTGCGAAAAAAAAAAATCCACTTTTAGTTGATTGTTTGAATAAGAATTTATAACCAGCATAATATGAAACATGCTTAGCAGAATACGTTTCGTGAAAAAACAAACAAAATCTTATCATGGCGACAAATATAATGTTATCAGGCCCATTGAAACTCCTGTAACGCTCACTTAAGGTGTGGGATACCCGACATTCCCAATACGAATATTATTATTTTCTCTCAGTAGTTCTGTCTATTATGTTCTCTCAATATCGTTTTTTCACGCTGTTCTGTTCTGTTCTGTAAGAATCTATGACTGTGTGAATTCATCAATGTGTGCGAGGGTGTCGGGTAAGCTTTGTGGAATTGTCTATACCCAAGGATGTACTAGAGAGAGAGAGAGAGAGAGAGAGAGAGAGAGAGAGAGAGAGAGAGAGAGAGGGAGAGAGAGAGAGAGATAGAGAGAGACAGAGAGACAGAGAGACAGACAGAGAGACAGAGAGACAGAGAGAGACAGATACAGAGACAGAGTGAGAGAGAGAGAGAGGGCAGTGGCGGTGGGTAGTGAAGGGCTCACGGGCTTGAGCCCCTGCCCCCTCCCCACCCACCACCCCCAACTCTATCCCAAAGTAAATGAAAGTTTCTCCATTTATAAATAATGAAATAAGCCGTTGAAACCGTTGTGACCGCACGCAATGAACACAGAGTGATCAACTTGGCAGCTTGCTCGCTTGTCCAATCACTGTTGTCACCACTTACAACTATAGTAACCCAGCAGCCAATCAAATGATGAGCCCTTTTCCCACAGCCCACCCTTAATGAAACTCTTATTGTGAAAAGGTAGTAGAAGACTGGGAAAAAAATATCACTGTACCGAGGGCTCACGCTCTCCTAGCCCACTGACAATGGTGTGAACGTTTACAACACACTTTTCCCCCCACTGAAACAGATACCTATGCGCTTGTTCGTTCTTTGTTGGATGCGTTCAACTTTCTCGACTACACGGCCTAATCCAGCTCATAGAAGTACTGTAGTATTATGTATGAAGTGCTGTGTGTGCATATATAATATATAGTATATATATATATATATATATATATATATATATGTATGTGTTTGTGCCGCTGAGGTTTAACAGTTATAAATCAGGTCGAACTATTTTTGTAAGGCAACTTTTTCATCACACGAAAACTAATTAGAGCAAATTTGGAGGTGAATTTGCTTCGTCCCCACCATCAACAAGATTTTAACTAAGAACAAAGACATGGAAAACAGAGACAACTCTTCTCGTTTGAATGGTTCTCAAACTGCTGTGGTTCACCCTGAGTATAGAAAAATCATCACTGTTTAATTCTTATATTGCTTGCTATTTGGTGATAAAGAACTGGGAGCAACCTAAGCCCCTCCCAAATTTTGGTCCACCCACCGCCACTGTTTATATAGCCCATGTAAGTCAAAATACACAGGACTATCAACAAGAAGTTATTTTGTTTCGATGTGTTGAATCACCATGGGTTACGGATCCGTTAAAAAAGCCCACTAAATGTCACCAAAATTAGTCAACTAGATCTAGATCTAGATATCAATTTAGATCTACAAGTCATATGATTTTTGTAAAAAAAATAAAAATAAAAAAAAGCATCGGTAATCAATGCTCATGTTTTGATATTCCATCACTTTATGGGGTCTTCAAAAAGGCGTAGCTTATTAATAATACCTTAGCCTAGTTTACATTGACATAATATTATGACCAATTTTAATAATTAGTTGATCATGATTCTGTTGTTTTTTTCTCTCATAAAGACCGACTGTGTTAAACAAATTATGAAACTGTGCCCTGTGCTGTGAGAAAAACGGGGGAAAATTGTACACCCCACCCGAAACCGTGTTCTTACTTTGCCTTCGTGAGCTTAGACCTAAACATTAATTTTTGCTTCACTTTTAAAACCTGGTTTCGCATCCCCACGTGGTCTCAACTTTCTTACAAGTTTTGGGTTGTGACGCGCGGACCTTAGGCTTAGATTATAACCACCTTGGGCAAACAGTAACAAACGACAGTGACGGTTTAAGTTCCAGTATGACATTTGGAATCAGTTTTTTTTTTTTTACTTTTAAACATTTTGGACCAGTTTCAAGACATAGATCTAGATCTAGATCTAATTTAAAATTAAAGCTTGTAACTTAATTAATTGTAAGAGGTCTTGGCCTTTGACGCCATGCCAGTGACACGAGACAACAATTGTTTGAATAGACAACCGCGTAATTAATATTCATGTTGCGTTAAGGTCAGAGGCTTCTCTAAGTTCTCTCTCTCACAGTAATGTCAAGTTGTAGCATAAGAATTTTCAAGTTTTCAAAACGACATACTTGAATCGTCTGAGTTGACGTAATAATCAGAGCTATTTTTATGGTAAAATGATAAATTATTGTAGTCAGCACCGAGAGCATGATTTTCTGTATCTCATAAATTTGAATTTTACTGTCATTTCAAAGTTTATTTGAATCGAACGAACGGCTGATCATACGAGAAATGAGAAGCTTTTGAAAATCTGGCAGGACGCGGTTAAACTTGAACCACAGTGGGCAAGGAAGCGGTTGTTATTGTTATTGTTTACAGTTCCTATGTGACCCCCTGTACAAAGTGTAAGGCAGGAATAATCCAATTTTTTCTCCTTTATGTCTCTGTTTTATGATGGTATTGATAGCAGCATGGGTTTAGCGGTTGTTTAGTACGCAGGTGCTGAGAGACTGTCACTTGTCAGCCATGGGTTTTGATGTGGCGTCATCACCGACGTAAAGACTTCGTGGTGGCAGATCTGGGCCTAGAATCTAGAGTTCTATAGTATAGGCCTAGAGTTCTCAATTATGGCCACTTCCTGAAACACTCAAAACAGGTTGTGGTTGTAACGTTTGACCATTTATTATAATTTCAACGTAAGCCTACTTTCTCTTCTCTTTTTGTGTTGAAACTAGATCTAGATCTCTAGATTGTTGTAGACTAGATCTAGTCTAGTCTAGAATCTATCTTGTCTTAGCAGTCTCGAGACAACAGTCAACAGAACCACTTGACTACTCTATAAAATATAATAAAACGATGTCAGCTCAGTAGGCCAACTAGAATCTAGATTAGATCTATAATAGATCTAGATGACCCGGATCTGTCACTGATATGTAAGAGTTGGTGTGAAGATAAGCCTAGGCTCAGGTCTCACTAAACATTAGCCTACGTGTAGTCACCCAAACACCAGTCAGAAACCTTCTCTCAAACAGAGGCATTTCCAGTGACCAATCGAATAACATTTCAGTCACCTAACTTTCACTGACCATTCCTAGATCTAGAGTCCTAGACCTATGTGTCTGTGGAAAGTTGGGTGTGAAAACGCTGTCCATCACTCCCTTTGTTCGGCGTAAGGGGCAGTCTCACTAATATCCGGTTTTCGAGGCTTGTCCTATGCAAGCTGTGCAGATTTCCCTCTGTCCAGCTTTACCTGTCGGCGTGTTTCACAGATCGGAGCGTGCGTTTAGAGGGAGTAACTGTGCGTTTGTACGTCTAAATTATATAGTAAAAAACTCGTCAGATGACGAAAGCGTGCGTTTGAGTGCAGCGTGCTTTTGTATGGTGTGCATTTAGAATTTAGGCGGAGACTACTGTACAAAAATTGACCCCAGGGTGTTCGGATAGGGTTAAGGCTATAATGTGTAAATGTAAACCATTAAACCTTTCTTCTGTCTTGTCACATGAGAGTGGGTGTTGGGTAGTAAGGTTATGATAGAAAACGGTGTCGCACAGCATTGGGCCATATAAAATCGAAGTGCCGATCTTTATTTCTCCGAACGGTTTCCGGTTTCCGCTCTGGTTGTGATTGTTTGCCTATTTGCGAGAGTTCGGCGCCAACTTTCATTCCGTCATTCTGCGAGGTCTGGGAAGGAGCAAATCAAAGGTGGTATCTGTTCTCAGCTTCTCCTCCGGCCGTGTGCCCACTGGTTTAGCGAGGCGGGTACTGCCTGAGGCACCCGAGAGACGGAGAAATCTGACCCTCTTTTCTATTGAGTGGACGGTTATCGTCCATTAAAAAAAAAAACGGAGCAAATTTTTGGGTTTAGATATCTATTTCAATTTTCAAGAGCTAGATCTAGTCTAGAGATTTTTAGATGAGTGTAAAAACGTGAAAAAGAAAGGTTTCACAACAGAATGAAATCAAAACTAGAACAGCCCAGAAACAACCACAACAATTAACAAATAAGGGCGTGTGTCCACCTGTCCGAAGAAGATTGACCGTTTTAACCCTAAATGTGCGTAATTTGTTAAAAAAAGTACAGGATATTGCATGGAAATTATGGAACCACACACAGGGGGCCTGCCAGTGTCAGTACATGTACTTGGTTTTGGTGGAACGCTCTAACATAGCACATTTAAATCTATACAGGTATATATATTTAGAATCTAATGAAGGTAGGAACATCAAATTAAATGACGTTACACAATACCTTTTGTAGGAACATCAAATTAAATGACGTTACACTATACAACCCCCCCGCCCCCCTTTTCCCCAACAAAAAAAAATTAATAGAAAAACAACACATCAGAACAATAACAAGAAAAAAAAATACACACCAACAAAATATAACACCACAAAGAGGGAAAAATGAACGAAAAATAAAAGAGGAACAGCAATACAAATCGTATGTAACTGTAACGTATTCAACAAATTCAACGTGGTGACAAGTGAGAAAGAGACGAAGTGAAGCTAAGTGAACTTTCTTTCAAAAGTAAAGAGTTTCATTTTCTTTTCTTTTTTTTGGACTTTTTCGGGGACCAAAAAATCGAGCCACGATTGATTGGTCGCGGCCTCGACAAACGCAGATGCTAGCTCTATGTGTCGTTATCAATAACCCTCCATAGATCTAGATCTAGACAGCTCACGAGTGAACGCAAAACATTAAGTTTAAGAGCAGCACCCTTCATAGGCCACACGTCATATCTGTAGCGAAAAACTGTTTGGAACTGTAGCATTTCTTTATATAAATACGGACATTTTTTGGACCGATTGAACCATATTGTATACGAACAATCTTTGGTAGGCCTATAATATAATTATAGATCTATATTTTATTTTTATTATCCGAAATATGCGGGAAAGGGTGTGATTTCAGAGTGTTCGGAGAAATAGTGCCCAGCTTTATTTTCCCGAACGTTCGGAGAAATAGTGCCGGCCATTTAAAATGGCATGATGTGCGAATTATTTTTTATATATATATGTTTATGTGTGTGTGTGTATGTGTGTGTTTGAACATGGAGATCAGAGATCTAGTAGGCCCCCTTTGGAACAGGAAGTGATTACGCAAGAGGGATGGGTTGCATGCTTTGACCATTGTTGGTTACATCATCATCTGAAAGAACAAAGTCAGAAAAAAATGTAAGATAAAGTTGTAAGGCTCCCCTTTGCATCAAATACTTTTTTCCTTTCTCTCTCTCTGACATTGAACAAGATACCCCAGAGCAGGTATCAAGGCACATCATTCCTCCTGTAGTGTAGCTTAGTGTGTATATATATATAATATAGGGTAGAAGGCACCAGAACTCCCTTGAATCTAGTCATTTGAGGGTGGGTGGTGAGGTGTAATTGAAGATTGACAGTAGGCCTATGGCGCTGCACTGGGCCATATGGTGTGTAAATTATGGGTTGTTTTTTTGTGTGTGATTGTTTGAACATGAAGGCATGGATCGGGAAGTGATTACACAAAAGAGGAATAGTTTCTATGGTCTGACTAGTGTTGGTTACATCTTCAAGATTTTGATCCGATGTAATGTAAGAGCATTTTTTTTTAAAGATCAGATGTGAATTTAAGGCCTATCTGCAGCACTTTCTTTCTTGCTCTTGCCTTGACACTGAAGGATGAGCACTCCACAATCCACCCTTTTATCATTGTATTGATACCAGCTACTGTTTATGATGACAGTGTTTGATAATATTATATAATACTGTCACAGTTACTTCCCTTGATTTTCTTCAACTTTTCTCTTATTTCTCATGGCGGTTTACTCAAATTGTGGATTATCATCAAACATTTTGTCAGTCCTGGATGTGTTCGAGATATCTGTGTTTATCTGTGGTCCTTGTTACTAGTAGTGGTTGTGCAATATTTGTTGATTTGTTGTGGTTCCAGTGAAAATAACAAGACATTGGCATTGTAAGGGATTGGAGGAAAACATTTAGAAGATTTTAAGTTGTCCTCATAGTCGAGACAAAAACTTATGGCCAACCTACCAGACAGCGTACTTGTTAATTTGTTAGTGTATAATCGTGTGCTATGGCTCTACTGGGTGTATGCAAATCGAGATTTTTAGAAAACAGTGTCCTCTTTGAATCGGATGTCATGTACTGACATTCATTCTGATAAAAATTTGATTTCCCTTTCCTGGAACTGTAATAGTTCTGTACTAGTTTGAATTGGTCCATGTCACATGCTTTATACACAATGTGAATCGTGAAATGTAGATCAAAGACATGCTAAGTAGTTTGTTTAGTTCATACGAGAAAAGAGGTGTTTCAAGAAGGTTTGTATACAAATAAGATTGACAGTTGACAAGATCAGATATAAGTTCACAAGGAAGCTTACAGAGAAAAGTTTCTCTAATGCTATTTCAACTCTGATGAACTTTATAAAGTTAACTTTTAGACTCCTTTTTTCATGTACTTATTATGCTAAAGATTTCTTTGAATATTTTTTCTGCACAGAGCAAACAAGAAGGCATCATGTCGAGGAGACAAAGTAAGACAGTAAGCACCATCACAACTACCAGTTTTTACAGTAGCAGCAGCAGTGTTCAAGTAACCCCAGGATCTGCCTCAAGTCGTAGCAGGTTGGAAATGTGTTTTAAAAATTGTATCTTTATTGTAAGGCTAAGCCTGTATGTGAAGTTAGTTCTGTTTGAGTTTTCGTTCTTCATTCAACAGCTCAGTGTAAAATAAAGTTAATGATAGATTAACTGCCTTGACACTTGAAGGAATTAGATCTTTACTGGCACTGCTTTTTTAAAAAAACTTTAAAAATTGCTAATTTTTGTCTAGTATTCATTCTAATTCTAATAAGATTCTGAAACTGAAACTTGAAAGAATGTTCCTTTTGACCGTTTGAGCCCAAAGGAGCCTGTACATCTGAGCTCTTGTGGGTCGATTGTTAGGTATATATATATAGGCCTACCGGGTGTCTTAAGAGGAGTGCACCATCCTGAAAAACTTCAGTGTACTCAGAAATTGGCATAGTTTATTTTTTATGCTTTCACTACTTTCAGATTGAATGATGGCTGAAAAAATTATTTACAGAAGATGGAGTTCAGCTTGTTTTTTTTGTTATTGTTAAGGAAGGCCAGGTGTGTCACACCGCTCTGTAGCTGAACTGTTGTTGCTGAGGGAACTCAGTTCACGCATTTATTATTTATAGTATAACACAGATAGGTAGAACTCAGGAGACCCGAAATCACACATCCGTTGAACTGTGCCTGCGGTCCCGTCCGTTTTTTTAATTTGAAACATTTTTTTTTTTGGTAAGATATCCCTCGAACTACGGATTCCTCGAACTAAAGAAGCTGGTCCAGACGAACTCAAGCTATCCATATTGTACTGTGTATAGTCTATCTGAAATGTCTGACGAATTGATTATTATAAGGTTGGAATTGCCAAATTATGAAGAAATAAGGCTTTATTCAATTTCTTTCAAAGATTCAGTCTAAAACAGATACAGAACAGAGAAATCTATTGCAGTAACAACTTTACGAAGAGATTGCTGCAAACATTTTTGGTACAATTGCTTAATCTTTTTACAAGATGATGACAGCCATACAGTTCATAGCATTTTCACACAACACCATCAAACTATTTGATAAAAACCAGGGTGATGTGCAACTTTTGGGACACCTTGTATATATGCCTTCATGCTTTCAGGAGTTACTTTATTGCTCACAAGGGTTAAAGGTAGTTACACTCAGGTGTGAACTTAGGTTCATGGAGCTCAGCTGTGGTCCTTTGAAACACCGGGGAAGTTAATCGTGGAGGATGTTGTAACATTGATTGTGTTTGGAAATTTTTTATTTATTATATTGAATTGACATTTTACCTTTGTTTTACTTTCTATTTTTTCTAAGGTTGACCTTGGACTCTTCTGGTGACAGTCCTCACTGGATTTCAGGACATGAGTCTCTTTTCAGCACGCCTAAATCTTTGTCACCCTTAAAAACTCGTCGGTAAGCTGAGCAGCTAAATCAGCTAAATGTGCTATTTTCTTTCTTCACCCATCAAGTTAAACTTAACTTTTGGTTGATTTACTGTACCTTTAAAAGTCTTTTATTTAACACTTGCAGTACCGAAGGCTCATATAGTGAAAGATCCTCAAATATCACACCAGTTTAGAACGCCAAAGTCATGTAGAATTTTTTCAAAGGTAAAAAAAACCTTCGCAGCCCATGAAACATGCTTTAAAATTCACAGAGGTCATCAACCATTCAGCTATCATATAGAGTGACTTCCTTTGGTATTTACTTCAGTCCGATAGCACTGTTTATTTTTTAATTATGTTTAGTGTGCCTGGTCAAGTCGGCAGTTAAAGTCTCCAGCGGTAATGATTAAATTGTAATGAGTGCATACTACGGCCTGGCGACTGAAGTCGCTATGGGTACTAAAAGTGTTAAAGGGTATCAGTGCAAAAATTGACTACTCAGTGTTAGACTCCTCCATAAGTCATTTTTAAAAGTGGCGCTTGATGGAATCTTACACCGACTGTTGAAATAGAGTGTACTTTTTCAACCCGATTGTTTCCCATATGTAGCAAGTCCGCACCTACCTACATTGTGACAGTTGCATACATTGGTCTGAGAGATAAACAGGCCTCGGTTTGATGTCTGTCAAATATTTGATAAAGTATTTATTTGTTGGAGAAACAAGAAGAAATGCTTTATTCTTAGAGTAGAGAGTCATTTGATTTCAATATTGATGAGATTAGCATTTTCCAAAACTTCTGTTTTTGAGTTTTTTGAAAAGGAACTTGAGCTTGGGGCAGATAGTTAATGAGCTTTGGAAATGATTTTTACATCACCCATAATTTTCGCCTGGTAGTTATAGCTTTATAGCTTTAGATAAACTGAAGATCAAAAGGAGGGATTGAGTGAGTTTGTTGTATGAGAGAGAAAAAAAGCAACAACAGCTCTTATGGAAACAATTGTGAAAAATACACCAGTTAAACTTTTGATTTTCTGTTGTACTAGCCTGTATTTCAAATCTTTTGTTGTGTTTGTGAAAAGGGGATATAATCATACTTTTGTAGCTCAAGTAGAATGTTAGAATACTGTTTGGAAATACCTGCTGAAAATCCCGGGACTATGGGACTTGACATGAGATTACTGTCCTTTCCATTTTTAAAAATGAATTCTGCATCTGAAAATGTGACATGGAATAATTTGGTACAAAAATGTGAGCTTGTTGGCTAATTTTTTTTAAAGGGAGCAAAACTGAATTAGTTTTTTTATTTATTACAACAGAGTGTGAGACTTTACTTCTATAAACTGCCATGAAGACACTATCAATCTAAATTATATTTTATACAGTATTTGCCGACATTCTTGTTTGCTTGCTTTGCCGTAAATTCTTCTCAGAGCTGTTAGAAAATGTCTGCTGTTCATCATGTAGTCACTGTGCTAACACACTGCTCTGGATCAGTCTTTTAAAGCATCACTATACTGTATAACAGGTATAGGTCAAACACAGAAGACTTGAAATCGCGCATCCGTCGAACTGTGCATGCGGTCCCGTTTTTTCTTCTTCTTTATCTTTGTAAGATATCCCTCGAACTGTAGATCCCTTGAACTACCGAGGCCGGTCCTGATGATTTTGAGATATCCGTGTTATATTCTGTATTTCTCTTTTATCTCCCCTACAAAGGCTGAAGTCTTGGTAACTTACTGTATCGAGATGTTTGTTATTTATGCTTTTTATACTGGTCTGTTGAACTGAACTGAAATGTGGAAAGACATATGTGTCATGATGTGGTGGAGTCAGGCGCTTGTCAATTTTTGGGCATGTGGAGTTATTGATATGATCTGAAGGCTTATTCATTTGCCTTGCTTTCAATGAAAAAAAATCCATCTAGCTTGAATATGAGTAGAAGTTGAGATATTTGCGATTGAAGAAGGTGAAGTCGCCTGGTTTCAGTGGTTAATAAATTAATGAGAAAATTGCGGCCAAAGTTTGGTAACTTCAATAGCTTAAGAGTTCTTGACAACTGAAAATTACATACTATGTGCCTTTAAAGAAGGTTTTTCAGTAAAATTCATATGGAAATGTGTTTTCATTATAAGAGCATAAAAAGTGTTGAGTCAAAAAACAAAATTTCAATAAAAATTGCCAAACTGATGGAAAAATGCCATTTTCTTCGATCTCATTATTTTGACGAGCGCCTGATTTCACCATGATGCCTCACATATTGTAATGTCAAGAAGCTAGTCCAGGGTCCTGAAAAATGGGAAGTGTTTGTCAGTGGCCTCTATCCTGGTTCAGGGTGAGATAAACCTTGATGATGTAATTGTACTGGTACTGAGCATGGACAAATTATCCCTTTTATTCTCGCTTCTGACTCAATGCTTTTCATAATTTGATAGTATTTAGGATAATTGTCAATTGTCATACAACTTTTAGAATGCTGAATTTAAGAATGTCTTTTGGATTTCTAAATTTCTGCAGGAAGACAACAGTTGTGCACACGGAAATTGGGTTTAGCGGAAAAGGAACACCTTCCAAGAATTCCAGTCAAAGAAAAGTTGGCGCTGATGAATTCAAGGTTCCAAGTCTGATGTTCAGCTCACCACCAGGTGTGAAGACCAGGAGCCGAAGATCTTCTATTTATGTATCAACAAAGCAAGCTTCAAAACAAGGGACTGGTGAGTCCTCTCGCCGACACTCCACCCAACCCCAGACTGCCAAGGTACAAAAGCAGACAGCTGCAGTGAAAAGAGCAGGAAAAAAATCAAATGCCAAAACCAGCACTACCAAAATAACGGCGGAAAAAGTTCTTTTGGTTGATAATGATAAGTTTGATCCGGAAGTGAGTTTTAATATGAAGAGTTTGGCTTTGTCACCGAATGTTAAGGAAAACAGCTCACCCCCCAAGAAAGGAAAATCTTCAAAAGCAAAGAGTGGTAGTGGTACTGAAATTGTAAAATCCGTTACGTCGAAGACATTGCTTAAGAAACAGAAGGCTTCCTCGTCTCCAAAGGTAAAGAAAATAACTAGTCGTAGTTCAGCAAATAATGTTAAAGTGAAAGGAACAAATGTAGCGTCTCGCAAAGTGACAAAGTCATCGTCTAGAAGTGCGAAGAAGGTTGTAGATGAAGAAATGGAAGTCATTTCAGATCAAGATGCAGGTGTTGATGGTTTCGATGGAAGCCTTGAATCAGAAGGTTTCACTTCTCTGAAAGCCAAAACAAATTCCCCAGGACGAAAGGGAAAAGCCAAAGCTTCAAAGTCTCCACGGGGAAAGAGTCCCAAGGTTTCACCTTTAAAAAATAGAAAGCAAAGTCCCTCACCTCCGAGAAAGGTTAGAAACAGTAGCCGCAGGCTCCCAGAAACATCAGAGACATTTGAGAGTTTGACCGAAGTAACTACTGAAACTTTGAGCACACCGCAACGAAGTGCTAAAAGAGCTGTTTCTCAGAAATCTACTAAGAAGTCTAGAGCTGGCAGCAAAAGTCCCTCTAAAAGTCTAGGCTCCTCTTCTCCTGCCAAGGCCAAAGCAACGAGAGGCAAAAGAGTTACATCTGCAAGTGCTTCAAAGTTGGAGTCACTTGATACTGAAGTACAGGCTGAAGATGAATCTTTGCTTACTCCAGTGCGTGGAACATCTAAGAAGACAGGAATAAAATCATCTTCTTCGAAAAGTCGCAAATCAAAAGGAAATACTCCTGAAATTGGAATTTCAGTGAGTAGCGCTTCAACCTCAAGTTCTGTAGAAACTCAGATATCTGCATCAGCATCTAAAAGACAAAGGTCAAGGAGCAAAACGCCTCTCTCAAAAAGTTCTAGGAAAAGTGCGAAGAAGGAGGCTCAGGCTTCATCTGGTGGCCCTGTCTCTAAAAGCAGAAGACTGAGTGGCAAAACTCCGCAGTCAAAAAGTCCAAGAAAGAGTGCAGAAAAAGAACTAGCATCAAGTCCCAAGGGCAAAGTGTTGAGGAATAAAACTCCTAAAGGAAAAAGTCCTGTAGTAGTTCTCTCCTATGAGATCACAGAAAGTCCAGACAAAAGTCTGCCACGTGATGGAGCTGAAAAGTTTATTTCTCCAGGGAAGAACAAGCCAAAGTCTTCCTCCAAATCAAAAGAAGTCAGTGTGACCCCTAAGCGGAAGAGCACTGCGGTATCTGTGTCATCGAGCAGAAAGTCACAGACTTCCACAAGTAAAAGAGCTTCAAAATCTCCAAGAAAATCTCCACAGCGCTCTGCCAGAGCAGGTGCAACTCCAAGGACCCAGAAGCAGCTGTCCGGCTCGAGAACATTGAACATCACTTTAGAAACTACTGGGGATGAGATCATTTCTGGAATGAGTAAAAACAAACAGAACACTTCGCCAAGAATTCGTAAAACACCTAAAAGTAATGCTGCAGATGTACGTGTATCTCTTGAGGTCAGCAAACAGAGGTCAGCCTCCAAAAGCGCGAAGTCCCCAGTTGGTACTCCGCCCAAGAGCACCCAAAGAATCACCGTGTCACAACATTCACATTCAAAGGTTTCCAGTTTATCAAACAGTAGTGGTAGACAATCACTGAGACTAAACGAGTCTCCGGGAAAGACGAGAGATGCTGCCACTCCTCTAGTGATAAGTGAGCGTTACAGATATCCTCAGATATCCCTTTCGCAAGTTAACACAGAGAAGTCTTCTTTGTTGAAGAGCTCCACGCCTTATGTCTACAGCCATGTGGACAGTGACCTGAGGCTGCCCGTGGATGCCCCTCTCAGTAGTGTCAAACGTGTGGCCGGCAGTGTGGAGACTGTAAACAGCACTGTAGATGAGAGTTCGGTGGGGGGATTATTTTCTCCTTTGAGCCGTGCAGGGATTTCATCTAGTCTCCGAAGAACAGTACTGAGAACTGTGCCAGCGTTGGATAGATTTGCCGTCCAAGGGAGCGAATACTCTGCATCGAAGCAGACAGCAACGTCGGGAGGAATTGAATACAGTAGTGAGATTACTGGCAGTGGAAGAAAACGAACAACTTTGGCAGAAATTGACACATTACCTCTGAAAAGAAGCAGACTTGTAGATGAAGAAAAGGAGATTGATAAAGTAATTGGAGCCATGTTCAGCCATCAAACGCCATCACTGGTTGAATCTTCCTCCTCTGAAGTAGTGACCGAATCTCACACTAGAAATATCTTGTACGCAGAACCTGAAGGGAAAGAGACTGTCCAGGCACGATCCTATTCCATCATGCAATCCGGGAAGGCTCTATCTGGGTCATATCATAATGGCAATGGTTTTGAGGCTATTGATGGTAAATTAGATAATGAGGAAAATGAAGATGATGAGGAGGAGGAGGAGGAAGAAGAGGAGAATGGATATGTGTCATATCAGACCCAATCCCGTAATCTTCGGCTGTCCAAGAAAACTGAAAAGAATGAGGAAGAAGAAGAAGAAGAAGATGAGGAAGAAGAAGATGAGGAAGACGAAGAAAATCAAGAAAGCAAATATCATGCTGAGAGTTTTGAATCAAACGATGCTGATATGACTCTTGTTCACAGCAGTCAGTCTCAAAGGTGCACAATTCTTTAGACCGTTGACTTTATATTGTGGTACATATAGTTTATGTGTGTAGATATTTAATTTGAATTCAGGAATTAGATCAGTCTTACAAGCCCATTATCACTGTTATACTTCAAATATATGCACCGGTATGTATAAGAGTAGGCCCTATTACTCATTTGATATAAGACTGAAGGTGACCTCTTGACTTCATTTATTTGGACTTACCAAGTTACATTTTAAGGATACCACTACTTCATGGATGCTTTTGTGGTAATTGATATGTTTTTATTACATTAAATCAAAAGAATGTCATTGAGGCCAGAGTATAACTTTATTTGTTGAAACTTTCCCATCATATCCCACGATACATTGTTTTAAAAAACAGGGATGTCTCTATTTTGTTCTGCTAGGACATGGTAATGAATTCCCTTTCAGTTGTAAAAAATCAGTCTGATGATGCATGTTGCTGTGTTGAATTCTGTACAGGAGGTATACGGTCTATTTGCTATTGTTCCTTCGGGTCCTGTTATATGCAGTGGAAAGATTTGGCCCTGTAATTACAGTGGAGTCTGTATAAATCGAACATGATTCAGTTAATACAAAAATATGGCTAAACCAAGTAAATCGGGTGGTCCTGCAGTAGATTTTAGTTTAAGGGGACTCCACTTTTTTAGTAAAAGTATGTGTGGCTTTATTAAAGTCATGATTGTTTTTTGATATTTTATCTACCAGCATTCTAAAAGTATAAACTGAACTAAAAACAGCTATTAGCTGATTGTTACATTACTTCTATGCAACCTTGTTGTATGGTCACTTTGAAAGATCCATTTAATTTTTTAATGAGTTTGAAAGGTAAAGATAGCTGTTGTGATATATGCACTTCCTCATTCTTTTACACTTTTCTTATGAAAGCACATGTATATATCTGTTGCTTTCATCCAAGGGACAAAAAAAGTGAATATTTTTTGTAATGTTATGGAAACCTGATTTGTCCAAGACAAGCTTAGATTCTGAGTCTGAAGAGTGAAAAAATTTAGGATTTTGTTCTATCATAATTATGAAGAGCTGAAAGATACATATGCTTTTTGGAAATGGAAAGAGTATTATGGCTTTGTGACACAAAAGTGTCACCACTCATTATTATCCTCTGATATAATCTTGCCTAATGAACTGAACCCGCTTGTGGTACATACTTATTCTTGTTGTAGCTTTTATTAGCATACTCATTTTTCTCTTGTTGCAATCTGGATTGTTGAGATATTGTTAAAACTTTTATAAAATCTTTGTTTTCATTTTTAAAAGTAATGTAAATGCAGCAAGAGAGACCTTGTACTGTACATAATGACCTCAAACAGAGACATTGTCATTTTCACAATTTTCATTTTTCTCTCTTCTACTTACTGCCAGGAGATAGAAAATTTGCACAAATTTTTTGTGTGCAATTTTATTTTTGAAAGATGAACAAATTTGTGAGGCATCGTGGTGAAATCAGGCGTTTGTCAAAATAATTAAATCCGAGAAATTGGCATTTTTTGAAAATGTTCACTAAAGTGTCTACAGGAGGGTCTATACTGTTGAATACCCATGCAGGCCTATCACTGAAAAACAATAAGTTGTCTGAAAACATGTCCATGGTTTACTAAAAAGAAAAAAGGTTGCTTTTGAGTTGCTTTTTGCAAAACATTTTATACAGGTAAAAATATGTTTCTAATGTCGGAAACACTTTGGGTTTTTTCTTGTTACAAAATCATAAAACTTACAGTTTTCATTCAAACTTATTCAAACTACATAATATATGAACTGCCAGTACTCACATAAAGTTCAACTCAATCTAAGAAGTTTGTTTAGTTGATGAAAAGAGAAATATTGCAATGTATGAAATGTAAAAATATACAGTACACCGATCATCAATTGATTCTAAAAATGAAAAATATCCTCCTGATGTTCTTTCAATTCACCCCAGAACACTATTGCTTGCAATGAAGACTAAAGCAGTAATTCTAAATATGCAAAAGTATGAGGACTAAAGAAGGAAAAAGGGTAATAGATTTTGATTAGAAATATGACAGATTTTAAAAAATGAGAGTCGAGTACACAGAATAATAATTTTTTAAAAATCTCTTCCCTCTTATTTTTCCAACTTACCAGTACAAATTCTTGGTCATCATTTGAACTGTGTCTTGCAAGTATCCAATTATTGTATATCCAGAAATAGAGAACAAAAATTTTTCGCAGATCTAAAAATGAAGAGATAATCCACACATATTGAATTAAAATACAACTACTAGCTAACCAAGTTAGTTTCAATAATTGTTGTTCACAAGAAACTTATTTCTATCTCAGTTTCTTGTGCTATGCCTTGAAACAATCTCCTTTGCACAGATGAGGTCGTCCTGGGCACACACTACGAACATTGCGGGTATGTTTCCTCTTGTCGGGTCTGCTGCAGACCTGACAGTTACGGTCTTTGTCCAGTGACTGCTGGAAATGGCTCTGGGGTGCTAATCTCACGATAGGGTTGTCAGTGACTTCACCGTCAGCAGCATTGAAACGTCCCGTGAAATTCTCTCCAGTGCTGAGGCTGCATGTGCCAGCTCTGAGACCTGTTTATTTTTGGATGATCTGAAACTGATCGTCAGAGGCTGAATCTCGTGGTTCCCAATTGGCTGGGTGAAGTCTGCATGGCAGTAAATAATTTTTGCATTCATATGTGCAATCTCCAAAGGAAAATAGAACATTTTTTTCCGCCACTTGTGACTTTAACGGTTGTGCACACAATAATATCTGACCATCTGGTCCGCACGGTCACATCCATTCAATAATTCATGGTACTATTGTACTTGTCGATGCAACATGGCTTGTCAACCTGAGTACCACCCCTTGTTTTCACAGAGGTGGTCTCCACAGTGTCTGCGCTGGTGACAACAGCCACAAACTTTTTCGCACTCTTGTCTCTGAATGAAACAAGGAGACATTGCCCAGTGGAATTATCCACAAACCACTTACTCTCCCCCTTCTCGAGCCGAATAGTCTTCAGCTGCTGGGGTAGGTTTCTTCGTCGGATGTCGACTGTTTCAGTGTGAAGTGGTGGGACTTAGACGAAAGAAACTGCAGAAGCGGATAGGACATGTAGAATCTGTCTGCAAAGATGTGATGCCCTTTCTCTAGGGGCGGGATAAGTGTTTGAAACACCTTTTCTGCCATGCTGCCATCCTGGTCAACATCAGGGTGGTATCCAGTCTCTGCGCCATAATATGTGAACATATTCACAACATAGCCGGTAGCACTGTCGCAGAGGCTGAAGGTCTTTATGTGGTATTTCGAAAGTTTGCTGGCATTGTACCTCTTGTACTTCCAGTTCCCCTTGAATTCAACCACCATCTCGTCTATGGAGACATCTTTTGCTAAAAGATATTTTAAAAAATGTAAGACAGAGAAATAAAAATTTCATAAGAGTGGAGGAAGAGCTTTCATGAATTTTTTTGCAAATTTTAGAAATAAGAAATGGGTGATGCATATGATTCCTTTTCTTCAAGGACTAATATTTTAAGGAATCACAAAATAAATGCTTACATTCTTTATTCTTCATATTTCTCTTGGGAATGATATTGGTAATAAACAGAAATGAGATCAAGTAACCGGTCTATCACTCACACTACGACAAACAGCTAGCACACGCACACATACTAATAAGACAGATAGTTGGGCCTGCATATTAGCCAATAATCAGTTCTACACATTTGGACAAACAGAGGCACGCACAAAGTAATAATGCCTATAGTTAGGCCTACAGAGAAAAGAATTACAAAATCCAAAAACAAAATAAACATAAATAATGTTGATGATGGATAATAATAGAAAAACAAAGAAAATGAAAGGTGAGACAAGACTTATCTGGATAAAATGCTTCTTGTGAGTTTAGCATTATGCTTTAGAGAAATGGTTCGATTTTCGCTTTCGTCTCGGCATTTGCAGCAGCTGCATGCGGGAATGAGTGGTAAATGGCTTCGAAATGATTCCTAGGTATCTTCTGGCCATACCAAGGGGTGTGCATGTGGGGCACGCTGTCACTCCAAAAGTCTTTGACACTTGGTTTCGGGCTGAGTCCCGTGGCAATAAGAATTGCGAGGAAACGCAGAAACTGGTTTGTCAACGTGCTCAAAATGTTTGTATGATCGGTATCTTCGAGCAGGGGTGTTTTTAGCTATTCTGTCGTCAGCATAAACATTCAATGTTCTTATCAAGCTCCCTATGAGCTGCGATGTGAAAATTGCAAACAAGCAGTCAAGAGCTGAAGGGTCACTGGTGTCGGGGTTCAGATTGTTGTGGTTTAGGCCAGTTGCATTCTTTCTTACAAGTACAAGTCTATAGAGTTTGAAGTGGATTCCCCACGTCTTGCCTCTCTCCACTGCTGTTAAACTGATCAGTGGGGTTAGCTGTTCTATCAATAGATCTAGGCCTACCAGCAGCAGTTGTCTAAACCTCTATCCTTGCCATGCCCTCTTGTTGCTGTAGGTGGAGGTCTGTAGGACTCTGGTCTGTGATGTGACAGGGCTGACAGGGTCCTCGTCGCTACTACTAGCGTAGTTGTCAGCTCTGGATTCTTGTCCTAATTCTAGATCTGAATCGAAGCTAAGTGCAGAAGCTTCCTCACCAGTGTCCAACCAATCGTTAATTTGTTCCACGGCACGAACAGCAGTTATTCCCTTTGGAGGGCGTATCCCTGACGGCCCAGCCTCCATTTTGCTATGGCAGTCGTTCGAACGATGTTTACAATTCGAAGAGGACAGAAAAAAATCCCTGAAATGACTGAAAATCGTCTGTCACAGCTAGTATTAGATTCAAATCCGCTAACAGGAAATCTATTCTGTTATTTCGGAAACATAGATTGGCCGAGAATTTCGTGGCATTTGATTACTTGATTGGAAAAGATAGCGAGTTACTCAAGCTGTATTTTGAGGGTTTCGGTCCAGCGGGGCCACGTCTGCGAGCTGGTGGTGGTAGGAAAAGTGTTAAGCTATGGAAGTCGCCAAGCTTTGTCGGCCATTTTCTCGCTAATTTTACCTCCAAAACCTGGCAACCCCGTCTCCTTCAATCGCAAATATCTCGACTTCTATTCAAGGTAAATGAATATTTTTTCCATCGAAAGCAAGGCAAATGAATAAGCTTTCAGATGATACTAATAACTCCACATGACAAAAAGTGATAAGCGCCTGATTCCACCGCGTCGTGACACATTTATTATTTAATTTTGTCCAATGAAATTGTCAGACACTTGTTTTTAAACAGTTTGTTAATTTTGTTGCTGCAGCTTCTCAAAGGAATTCTTTTTATCTTTTCAAGGACAGGGTCTATTTTAGTTACCATTCTTTTATCTGTAATTTTCATGCATTAGCAATACCAGATTGACTTTTTTCCCCCCCATATTTCCCTCTGAACGCAATGGCAGCTTTGTATAGCATAGTTTCAGCACGTTTCCTTATACCTAGCAGCACTGGGTCTTTTTGGGCCATTGAACTTGCTGATGTATTGTAATCTTGTAATCTTTTCTTGCATGGATTGTATGAAATCTCTCTTTTGCAAATGTTTGAATTCCTAAATGACTGGTAGGCTACATGTGTTACTCTTTTGATTTCATTTACATTTTGTTTTATTTTGGTCAGTGCACCACATTTGTATATATTTCAAACCTCAGTGTTTGTTCTTGAAGGCGTGTTGATGATTGTGATTATCCCTGATACTAAGACAGGACCACAAACAATGCTTCTCTTTTTTAAACAAACATACATTTTAGGCCTTATGAGATTGCTAAGCTCTTGGACTGCTGTTTCTTTTCTGATTAGTGATGTCACAATTGTTGTGCTCTTGTGATAGAGATATAATGGATCTCAGCTCTTTATATGACAAAATTTCTCCTTTGATTTTGTCAAAGATGTTGTCCTTCCCTCAGATTATTTTTTATTTTAAAAAGTTAAGATCTTAATCTAGCCCTTTTCCAAATTGTATATAGTAAATCTAGCCGTTCGAAATTTGTTGTTTTTAATTGATTATTCGTTGTTATTATCATATTGTGAGATATCATATTGTGGATTTTCTCGTGGCCTTTTTTTGTGGCTGCCTTTCACTACTTTCAGTCAGAAAAGTAAGTTTTGTAAGTCTACTAATTATACTAAATCTTCGCAGAACTTGTGTGGTGTCTGAGCAGCTCTCGGTTCAGCTTTCTTGGTGTTGGACTTTTTAAAGTGCCTTATAATTTGAAAATTGAATACTGCTGACCTTTCCTAGCCATTATTTCTCTATTCATTTATGTTATTGTTATTTTCTTTTTTAAAAACTCATAATAATAGTACATTAATAGCAAAATCTGTGCTGGATTCTTTTCTTTGATGAAAAACAAAATTGCCAGTTTAATTTGATGGATGTGAATTTGGGTCTGTTATCCTATCCCTGAAATTGTATTGTGACAAAGATGATGAAAGTCTTTGTATTGTTTTCTTCAAAACAAGGATGAAAGATCCCATTGTTACATTTTATTTCGAACATCCACCTTAAATTCAGCACCAACATAGCTGTGGAACAAAGTAATCTTCAGCTGTTTTGTAGTGTAGTCAAATTCTTTAATTTTCATTTGTCATGCTTTAATTTAATTTTTTGAAATGTACTGCTGATCACAGTCACAAGCAGATGTTTTATAAATTGAAGCTGTGACACTCTGTATGATAATGTTCTCCTTCTTTTGGCCATAACCTCTGCAAGCTGTTGTCTTTTTATTATGATCAAACTTTTGCAATGTTGTTTGTGTTGAGTACCATGCATTTTTCTCTGAGCTAGCATTTTTGTGCCTCAGTTTATTGCACATAGATATATTCTAAACCTGCCGTGTTCTTATTTATATCACATTAATGCATATTATTTTGCACCTTGGTAAAATTTTGTTTGTTAGAACATAGCATACTCTTGTATGTTGGTATTGTTAGTACTTCGTAAACATTTTGAGGACGAGAATGTTCAAAGCCCAGTGAGATGCTTTTTAGAGTAAAAAATTTGAAGTTAAGAGTGTTTCTCTATTGTCAGGCGAGATATATTTGTCTCTAACTTTTGTCTCTTTCTGCTGTGTATTTTACACTCTTTGTGTCTTAATTTGATAAAAGTACCATTCAAAATCTCTCATGTTAGAGTGGTGAAGGTAATTTTTTCATTCAAGTTGAGAACTCACCTTAGATTTCTTTTTAGTGTGGAGAAAACATGGTGTCATTGTGTATTTTGTGACATGCAGACTGTCATTTGTATATGTAGTCTTTTTTTGTGGTAAAACAGAATTTGGTTGCTTATATTCACAAAGGCAGCTGTGGGAAAATTTAACACTATTATTGTTATTATTATTATTATTAGTTTAATTATTATAATGAACATCATTAGGGCTACGTTGTGCTTGTTTGTATAGTATAAGTGTGTAAATTTGTCTGCGATCAAGATCAAGGGTAGATGTATGATATCACGAGTAAGTTTTTCAAGAATGATAACTCCTGTCTTTTCTGAAGGAAACTCTGCGGAGTTGTTGGTGGATCAGTTTCACAAACAGAGTTGTGACAGATATAGATATATATATATATATATATATACATATGTGACCAAGTGAGCCATGGGGTAACTGCTGAAATCTCCTCCCAGTTCAACTTTGATCCCCTATAGCTATTTCTCATTCAAAGCTTAAAATCTAATAAAAAGCCTTACTTCCTTCAACACTGCCACCCACATACCATCTCTCTTTTTTGCTTTACTTTTATTATAATTTTTGCCCCCCATGCTGCTTTTGTATGTTTGCTTGAAGATGACTTTGATGCTAGTACTAGTAGTAAGATACAAAGAAGGTAGCATTAGGAAGTACAATAGTGTTATTTTCCCTGTGAACCGATAGGACTAGGGCTTTCAGTTTTATTTAAATATTTGCATACTCTGGCACTATCTCATACTCTTCTCGCAGTCCTCATAAGATTATATTTATACAGTTCCTTTTAGAAAAATGCTGCCCTTAGTTTGGCCTGAGTTACTCATTGTTATGGTTTTCTAGCCCTAATTGCAATGTGTTATGTGAGTAATGCTAAGGCTGAGAGTCAAACTGTTAGTGTTAGTCAGTCTTTTTCTTAGTGGAATATGATCTCATTATATCGTCTTATCATACACAACAGTTATTATAGTTATGAACACTCTTTAGCGAACCCTAATATATATATAATACCCTGTTCACAAGTGAAACCTTCGATTTTACAAGAGGTTCAACCTGTTCATTGAATAATTGTCCTTAAGACTGAACAGTAGGCCTACTTACTTTTACTGTGAGCTATATGTGTCTATAATATTGACACTCCATCTATGTAATAATAACTCATGTATCGAGTAATGTTCATTACTTACATTCTAGAACTACTACTACTACTACGTGTTTTAGTATTGAGGTTACGGGTAGACAGTGTCGTCAGTAGCTGCCCACAACGGCACTCTCCACACTCTTTTAACCCCATGCTATGTGCCTTATAAATTATAGTTTGGTGCAAGTAGTGTTGCATTGTAATCCTGTCACTGGTTGTTTAAGACCGTTTCCTCTCTTTTAAATAAACAAAAAATGTATCACAAACGAAGGCCTTGAAAATTGAGTCTTTGTGTGTCTGAAATGAGTGATTGAGTAATACTGTTTGTTAATGTTTTTTGATGTGCAAGTAATTTCAAGGGGGGGATGGTCCTACTCCTTTCTTTTCCTTTGTTGTTTTTTTTCAGTTTTTCCTGCTTTCCACCAAACGC